TGGGTGGGAGCTTCGCCTGGGTGGTCTGGGTCTGACAGGGAGGTGGACTAATTGTGCCTATATGAGCTTCAAGTGACTTTATACCATGGGCCCTCTATTTCTTCTTGCTCTGAGCACGGGCCAGCTTTGAGGAGTGGGATGGGGGAAGTCATGAGGAACGTCTGACTTCAAGTCCTGGGCTGGCTGCTCTGCTCCAGCTCCTTTTCTGTTTTCATTTGTTCCTGCCCCGGGGACAGCCCTTCTACAGCCTAATGTCCAGCAGAGGGCGCCCTCGCCACAGCCCAGACTGAGAGGCTGGTAGGGCCAGGAGAGAGCACGGATAGACTGCCCTTTTCTCCCGAAGGGAGAAAACTGTGTAGAAGGGGATAAGGTTTCTGAGGGGTGCCTCGCGGGTCTGTAGGGTAAAAGGATGGAATCTGATGTTATTCTGGCGTGGTTTGAATCTGGGCTCCCATCTAAACTCTTTTGGTCTGTTTTTGGGGAAAAGGAAAAGCACCATGAAGGAAGGTTTTGGGAGAATGAAAAAAACAAAGCCATCATCCATTAGAGAGGAGTAGTAAAGGAGAGGCTGCCACTGCCCGCTTTTCTCCTAAAACTCCAGTTTTTAGTCCACCCCAGGTTTTCCGGTTTCCCGGGACTGAGGGTGGGGTGGGGCGGGGTAGGGTGGAGAACGACCGGGAGCGGGCCGGCCGGCGCGGTGGGTGATCCCGGGATGCTGGGATTTAGGGTGAGGGCGGGGTAAGATGGGGAGCGGAACCCGGACCCCATGATCCAGCCCGAGCCCCACAGCCTGGGCTGTGCCCTTCCTAACTCCTCCTTTCCCAGCGGAGATCCGGGTCCCGCATCCAAGACCTCCCAACTCGACCCTGGCACTAGGTTGGGGGGGGGGCACAGCTGGCTGGCAGCTGGATGGGGGGACACTTCTCCCGCCTCCTTCCTCTATGACTCACCCAGGGGAAGGAGGCGAGGGCTCGCAAATGACCCCCCAAACACTAAAGAGACTCCCCCAAACATGCCCACTCAGTCATCTTCCTTCCCCACAGCTCAGCGGCAGAGGAGCCGGGATGGAAATGGGGTGACATCCCTCTTTGCCCACGCGTGCCACTGCCCACCCACGTCTCCCCTTCACACTAGTGGAAGAAAAATTTCGCCAACTTTTCCAGCTTCAGTTATGTTTCCTGGGGTGTGGATGAGAGCGAGGAAGGGGCAGGGAGCTCCAGGGTTCCCCTCCTGGAGTCCTGAATCATCTTCTGTATCCCTATTTTCCAGAGTCCTTCTCGCACCCCCGCTCCCCAACTCCCAGGAGTCGGCCCCGCCCCCTTCTCCCGGTCCCGCCTTCCCCGCCCCCGTGCCTCCTCGGCCCACCCAAGTCGCCGCCGCAGGCTCTGGCTGCAGACAGCTCCGCTTCCCCCGCCCGCCCCGGGAGCCCAGTCGAGCGAGCCGCAGTGGAGTCGGGGCGGGGAGGCGGGGGGGGTGCGCGGCGGTAAGAGGCGGGACACATTCTCCCCTCCTCCCCTCAGTGCATCCAAAAAGCTGGCAGTGGCGCCTAGGTGGTGGGGGGGGGGGCACTGTTGGAGACTAGGGGTCCCCGTGGCGGGGTGGAAAAGAAAGAAGAATGCAGAAACTATAGGGAGAGAAAGTGACTGGGTAAATAAAATAAGGTGTGTATGGGGAGGAGGAGGTGCCAGGACACCTCAGGTTCCCGGGTATCCCGGATGGCTTCCCAAGGGTTAACCCCTCCAGACCCCCGGGAACCCCTTAGTGACGTCAAGGGCGGGGTCTGTGCCGCCTGGCAGGGGATACCGGGGAGATAATGAGGGGGGGCTCTGGACCCCGCCCCCCTAGGGAAAACCACCCTAATTCCGGCCCTTACAATTCCCCAGGGGAAATCGCCCCGCCTTCTCCCTCTACTGGATCATAAAGACCAATCCTATGAAGACCCCAATTCTTCAGCCCCCTGAAACCTTCAGTCTCTAGTCTCTATGGGATCCCCTTTCCCTAATCCTGTCCCCAAAGCTAGCTGCCCAGGGCGGATTGTTTCGGGGTCACGGGACCTGAAAGAGGCTTCAGAGCGGGGAGTAAGGGCAGGCAGGGTGGTCTGAGCCAGAGGAGGGGCCTCGGTCCCCAGCTCCCGTTTGGGAGGGGGGCCAACGGGGATGCACAGGCAGGCAGCGGCCCGTGGTCCCGCCCTGTCCCAGTAGGGGTCTCCCTATGGCTGGCCCCAGCTGCCCTGGTGGTCCTGAGGTCAGAGGGTCAAGACAAGGTCTCCTCAACTCCTCCTTAACACCCTGCCCACGGCCCTTGGGACTCAGGAGTCCAGATTCCTCGAGGAGTCTTTCTAGGGCCTAAACTAGACACTGGCTCCTCCAGCGCCTCTTCTAGTCCAGAAGGCACTCCTTTCCCCCACAACACAGGCACCCGCAAGCACATCTGTCACAAGACAGGTCAGGGGTTCAAGCCCAGCCCCCACCCCCACCCCCGGTGGTTTTGTCGCCTCTCACACAGCCATCACCACCCCACCTAGGGCTCTCTCGTTAGCTGTCCCCTCCTTTCAGAAACACTGACGTCTTCCTGCCCGGCGCTTAGAGACACACCTGGAGTTCCCTCTACCACGCAGACCTCCAGCTAGCCGTCCCTCCAGCCTCTTCATCCCAACCTCCTGAAAGTGAGATGTTTCTAATGTATGGGAGAGGCAGAGACAGACAAAGAGATCCACGGTTGCCTGAGACAGACACACAGACTGTCAGAAGAAAAAGATACAGAGAAAGGGAGATACAAATGAAAAAATTCTCCAAACTTTCTAACATCTCACCCCAGGCTCTCCCACCCCCGTTTGCCTCTGTGCCCCAGGTCTCCCTCTTGGCTGGGCAGCGTCTCTCACAGGCAGAGCATCCCCTCAGGCCCCCTCCCCCACCGCTCCCAGGTGGTCCCCCGCCTGCCCCCCTTCTCACCTTCGTCTGGGCGCAGGGCTCGGGATGCGCGGTCCAGGGCTGGAGTCTGGGCTGGGGGTGTGCGGTGGGGAGGGGGGGCGGACAGACCACGGCAGCGCAGCCTCAGTGCCACCCCCACCCCCCTAACCTGGCCCCCAGCCCTCCCGCCGGCCCAGCCCGCCGGGCCGCGAGCCGGGACCACCCGCGAGAAGCGCAAACTTTTTTTTTCCTTTTTGCAAAAACTTTTTCTCGCTCAAGCTGCTGGCGCGCCGCCGCTCTTCCCGCTCGCCCCTCACCTCCCTCCTATTTCCCTCCCTCTCGCCGTTCTGGAAGACGAGGCGGGGGAGCTGGAAGCGAGAGAGGGGGTGCCGGGCTCATTGCACCCCCAGGACCCCCAGGATCCTCCCCCTCCCTGGAGGGACCCTATACTGCCTACACCCCCCCCACCCCCCCTGCTGAACACGCTGCTGGTGGTGGGCAGTAAATCCCGGCATGGATTCTTGGATCGGCTACGTACGGAAAAGCCCTTGAACCAGAGCCAGAAAAAAGATTGAGAAATAAATGGGGCCGGAGAATTGGGGGGTGGAGTGGGGGGGAGCATTAAAACGTCATCCGAGAAAGATAATGTTGGAGGTAGGGTCATCGACTTTGGTTGGTGCTAACTGAGCATTCCGCCACCCCGTAGTTTATCTGCCGGTTTCACCCCTTGGATGGAACATGAAGGGGTTGGGACAGAGTTGGGGTCTGGTGGAAGCAGGGTTGGGAAAGAGTTGGGGTTGGGGGCCCTGCGCAGAAGATGAGGGGTCTATGGAGCATAAAAGAGAGGAGCAGGTGGCTGAGGCTCTGGGTGCAGGGTATGTGTTCACTAAGTTACTGAGGAACCCTGGGACTGAAGCACTGTTGTCCTGTTCCCCGAGAACCTCCGTTCTCCTTCTCGAAGTTCTGGAGACTGCGGCCACCTCCGCACCTCTGCGCTGCTCGCTCTCTTTCGGCTCCTCAAGCCTGTCTGCTCCCTCTGCTGGCCTTTCTGGCACATGACACCCTCTCGGAGTCATTGGAGGCAGAGACTGGGGGAGCCTGTAGGAGACTTAACAGGATGCCCCAACCAAAGCCTAGTTAGAAACCCAGGGAGGGGCTTGTATGAGCCCAGAGAAACGGAGGGCACGCCGGCAGATGCTGCTAGTGCAGAGCGGTAGTGCCTAACTGAGAGGGGAGTGCCCTGTGCCTTTGGATTTGTGTTGCCATGGTGACCAGATGCCGGGGAAGGGGCAGCTATTTTAGTCTCTCTGACCTTTCTTTATGAGAAAGGGGAGAAAGCGTGGTGGGGGAAAGGAGTCCCTTCCTTTTCTGTCATCCCTCAGACAGACCTCCCACACCCTAGCTCTGCTTCCAAGAACTACCTTCTTGGGCCTGGAGGGTCAGTAAGTTCACTCTGCAGTCTGAAGGTCCAGGGAAAAAGTGAAGTTAGGAAGAAGTCTGAGGCCCTACAAATACAGGTAGTAATGAGGGGGGGCCGGGGGGATTGCAGATGAGGAACCCTATTTGACCCTCCCACCCCCACTTGACTGACCCAGACACCGGTTATGCTTAGAGGGTAAGACAAGACCAGTGGTCACTGGAGAAGGGACCCTACACATGCTCCGGTGCCAGCACCTTCTTTCAGGCCAGCTCTTTTACAGCACACTGCTTTATCCACCCCACCCAGGTCTCTAGATCAGAGATTCTCAAACATTTTGGTTTCAAGACCCTTTTACACTCAAAAATTATTGAGCTAGGAGGCCGGCTGGTGGCCAAGTGGTTAAGTTTGCACGTTTCGCTTCTGTAGCCCGAGGTTCCCAGGTTTGGCTCCTGGGCACGGACTTACACACCACTCATCAGGCCATGCCAAGGCGACATCAGACATAGAAGAACTAGAATGACCTACAACTGGGATATACAACTATGTACTGGGGCTTTGGGGAGAGAAAAAAAAAAGAGGAATATTGGCAACAGATGTTAGCTCAGGGCCAATCTTCCTCACCAAAAAAGCATACTTAAAAAATAAATAAATAAACATTATTGAGCTTTTGTTTATGTGGTTTATATCAATTTACCATATTAGAAATTAAAACTGAAAAAACATTTGTAACACAAGCACATATCCCATTAACAATGATGGCAGAAAGATGATGTAATCACATGTCACGCAGCCTCTGGAAAACTCCACTTTATGCTTTGGAGATAATGAAAATTAAAAAGGCAAATAACATCTTAGTATTACTGTGAAAATAGTTTTGACCTTGTGGACAGCCCTGAAAGGGCCTCAGGGACCTCCCAGGGGTCCCCAGACCACACCTTGAGAACCGTTGCTCTGGACCCTCACCCCAGCCTTTCTTTATGACTCACACTTGTTGATTTTTTTCCCTTCGTTTTTATTAGGAAAGTCGAAATGTTTGTCTCCCCAGTGGGTCCTGCCTCCCAGGGAAAACCAGGGAACTTCTCAGGCTCAGCACCCTTCTCTCCTGACTCCCATTTCTGGGGCTCTCCTAAAGATCTTCCCTCAGTCCCTTGCCCTTTTCCCTCTTGACCCTCCCTTAAAGCACTTCCACAGTCCCCACCCTTGGCCAGCTTGTTTCCCCTGCTCCAAGCCTGCTGGGTCCTCTGTCTGCTTCCTCCTTCCCTCACTTGAGGACTTTCTCATCTTGAGAGAGACTAAGTCATTTTTCTCTGCCTTCTCCTTCCCTCCCCTCCCCCCCCCTCGCCTCTGCCATCTTCTCATAGGGCCTAGGGTAGGAAATCACACTTTCTGGGTAGACTCCTTTAGAGGACACACTTTCCCTATCTCCCCACACATCAACCAGCCTGGAATAGGCTGGAGTCTGGACAAGAAGATGCCCATCTGGGTCCCATAGAGGTCAACCCAGTCATACTGCCAGGTGGCCCATTGGGTGGGGCTGTGGATCAGAAATCTGATGCCTCCAGCCACAGATGCCCTTTGCCTGGGAACCCCTGACGTGATCTCTTTGCTCCAAACCCCCAGGTCCTCTTGCTAGCTGCAGCCACAGGCCTCCACCACCATGTCTGGCACATCTGTCTTGACCACATTGCCATCACGGTCGAGATAGAGGAGAGAGAGAGGTCTTCGGGCAGTAGGGACGCAGCAGGAGTTACCCAAGGGCCAAGGGTTGTTGGCCTTGAGGAGGCTGAAGACAGCAGAATGGAAGGAGGCAGCAATGCCCGGGCTGCCAGCCAGGTGTGGGGGGCACTGGCCACTGCAGTAATTCAGCTGGTACCCCTCGGGCTGCAGGATCCAGTCCCGCCATCCCAGCTCCTGAAAGTCTACATAATGGTCTCGCCTGCAACATAAGGGGGTCTCAGGCTCACAGGTGGGGGTCCTCCTCCTGGCCCGGCCTGCTCCAGGCTCACTGGGCCGGATCTTAAGCTCCAGGAAGGGCCGCCGGTCTCCCACCATGTCCAAGAGCTGGCGAGGCTGTCGGGCAGCTGTGCTGTTGTCTTCTAGGGGTCTGCAGTCTAGTTGGAGTTTCAGGACACCAGACTCCTCACCCCTCAAGCCACTAGAGGGCAGAGTCAGGGCGTGCCAGCCCGGGGTTTTCATTTGGTGCTCAGCTAGGAGGGCGCGGGACCCTTGGCGCCTCCTCCTGGGGCCGCATTGGAAGATCCTCAGGTAAAGAGCGCCAGGAAGGGTGGGGAGCGCGTGCAGCCAGAGGCGAGCATGCTCCAGGTGGTGGGACCGAGGAGCGGACAGGTGAAAAGTGAGCACGGAGCTGCAGGTGGAAGTGGAGGAGTCTGCCAGAAAGATGGAGAAGGTACTGAGGAATGTGAGCAGAGATGAAGCTCTCCTCTGAGACCCCTGCAAGCCCTGCCCACTGCTCTCCATAGCACCCACCTTTAGAAGAAACAGGGACCCCTTCGCGTCCTCCGCAACCGGTCCCTGCCCCATCTCTGCCTCCTCCTCCCACACTCCGCTCCCTCTGCCTTTTATCAGTCTCCCCTTCTGCCTCCTTTTCCCCCCATCTGCCCTCTGCCTATCTCTCTCTCACCTACCTGTGATGGTAGCAAAGCTGATGACCTCCTCCCCATTCGCTGGAGCCGCACTTCCTGGCTGTAGTCTCCGGAGGGCTCTGGTCAGCGCAGCCTGGGATGGAGGATGAGTTATTCTGGGACGACTGGTCAGGTGCAGCCCTTCCAGGATTTGCTGCTTGGCTAGCTCCAGGACCAGGGCTCGTTCTGCTTGAGGTGCTAGTGTGGGGCCCCCACAGGAGGGACACACAGACCCTGCCCCCTGTGCCCACACCAATGCCCACAGCAGCACCAGCTGGAGCTGGACATCAGGGAGCTCCATGCTCCTGGCAGATGGCCCTGGGTCGGGTTGGGAGCCTCAGATGGCAGTTGCTCCTTCTGTTGAGTCGTATTGCGTAGAGGCCAACGAGGGCACAGCAGCAGCAGACAGCAGTGCCACACCTACCCTTGGCCAAGGGTAGAGCCACCTGTCTTCTGTTGCCTGGGACTCAGGAAGGCAGGAAGTGGATGGTCCGCTGGGTAGCTGTGTTTAGCGCAGTCGGCCAGTTTGACCCTCACAGCTCATGTCTGGTTACTGACTGAGGCCTCTTTAGAGCCAGCAGCTTGGGGCTCCCTCACCTAGTGGTCAGCCGGTGACCTACCCTCTGAGCCTCGGGATTGGCCAGCTGTGCTGCCCATCAGGTCCCTGCAGGGGGTGGAGGTCCCCCCCTGGAGCTCGGGTTTCACCATCTGGCCCTGGTCACTGAGCTTCAGGTAGGGGTATGGGGGTGGGGGGGGTAGTGTGGACACACATGATGCAAGAAAGAGGATGATTTCACATGCTCAGGCCCCAAGGTCTGGGATTCGGGGGAGGGAACTCCATATGAGCAAGGTGGGGCCAGCAATTTCCTCCCAGACCCCAGTCTTTCTAGCTTGCCCAGCCACCTCTGCTGCAGCAGTTTCCATGAGGCAGCTGTGAGTTCCAGTGGTTATTTCTCTGGGGTCTCTGAGTCGGAAGGAGAACTCTGATGTCTTTACTTCTAGCAAAGAGGCTGGAACAGGGTAGAGAGGCTGGGGGGGTGGGAGGAACGGAGTCCTCTTGCCCAGGCCAAGGTGACCGTGCAACAGGGCACAGAAGTCACCCCCTGACCCTGCCTGTGCTGGCCGCTCAGAGTCCAGTTGGACTGGAGCACAACGTGGAGGAGGGCATGGTGGGGAGGGGGGGTGGCATGTTACTCTGATGTCTCAGGAAACCCAGAGAGGTGGGAGTGGGGTGATGCAATCTTACAACAGGGCAGAGTCCACCGCAGCTGGCAGCGGGCATGGGACTTGGGAGGGCCTGTCCCTGGCTGCTGGTTCTCTTGCAGGGTACTGTGAGTGTTGCCTAAATTTGAGGCATCCTAGAACTGGTGCCAAGCTTCTATTAATGGGGCTGGGAAATGGGAGGTTTAAGGGCTTTTAAGAGCAAAGCAAGGAGAGTGCAGCAGCTTTAGTTCCAATCCCAGCCCTCCTTACCACCCTTCCTCACTGACTTACATGGGAGGCCCAGGGCCTTTCTCCTTATGTCCCAATTGCTTCAGGAAGCTCGGAGGAAGCGAGTGTGACTTGGCAGTGTGTCCCCACTCCATTTTATTCATCTTCCCCCTATTTAGCCCGTGGGGATTGTCAAGAGAGACTACTAGATCTGTCACCAGCGGGAGGAAGGTGTTGCTTTGGGGGATGGGCCTCAGTACCTCCAGTGTCCACCATGTGGCAGTGCCGAGCCACTGGACAACATCACCCTTAGCGCTGACCAGCTTCCCAAGGAAGGTGCTGCTCTAGGAGTGGAGAGATGCAGAGCACTTCCCAGTCTCTCACTCTGGGGACCCTGCCTCTCCAACAGGAGACACAGAGCTGGTCCCCGTGGTCTCTCCAGAGAGCAGAGGCTGTCATCAGGAACCACATCATGGCTACCTTTGGTTTTGGACCTCATCACACTGATACTGGGGCAATGGGGCTAGGGAGCTTGGTGATAGGTGCCAGGTTCTTCCTGGAAACTCAAGGTACCAAGGGGTAGAGAGGAGTGAGAAGGAACAATGAGACTTTTAGACCCTCCTGTCCACCCTGCATTTCTCCCCAGGTCCTGAAACACATTCAATCCCCACTGTCCAGCACTCTCCCCAGCTCCCAGATCCCTCTCTGTTGGCCGGGGCTGGTGAGTGACAGTCCTCTACCCTCTGTGATCTGGACTGTAGAACTTCAAAGCAGAAGTTTCTGCCCATGGTGCTGTCTCAGAGGGCTTACCTGTTGGTGCCAGGAGACAGAGTCAAGCGAAGCAGCAAGAAGTAGCTGTAGGAGTCACTGACCCCACCTCTCCCCTTCCCTCTCTGTCAGGTGGCCCCAATTTTCAGCCCTTCCTACCCTCTTGCTGCTGTGCCTGGCCCTACCTCCCCGCTGACACTTACGTCAGAACCCAGCTATAAATATGCTCTTAGCATCTTAGTCACTTTCCCCAAGAAGTGCTCCCGGGTTATAAATACCCCAGCCATCTGCCTCACAGGCCCGCCCCACCACCAACCTGGTTGGGGGCTGGGGGTAGTGCACGCTTGGAGCTGGGGAAGGAAGTAGAAGCAGCCTGAATGATGATCTTGCCCAAAGGAGAAAAGCCTGACAGAGTCTAGGGTTAGGGACCAGGGGGATCCGGAAAAAAAGGTTTGGAAGAAGATAAACCCACTTTTTCCCCTTTTTACAAAAGCAGAGCCAAAAAAGAAAGGGAATAGTATCGATTTTGCGTTTATTTTAAAATTTACTATTTTGTTCATCATGGATCTTTTGGCATTCATTTTGATGTTTTTAAAATATTACATTAAGATATTATTTATTTTCATTGATGAATTTTTTGGCACCCCCCCCCTTAAGATTTTGCCCCCTAGGTGGGTGCCTCACTTCATTTCACCTTAGTCTTGGCCCTGGGGAATGAAGCTGTAGTTGGAGGGAGGAAGGTTAGATCTGGGAGAGGGGTGGAATGGGTGAGGGGTAGACACTGGTGGAAGTGGGAGGGAGAGGCACCCAAGGATGTCCTTAGATGAAGATCTCCTCAAGTCAAAGGTGGGATAACTCCCATTGGGTGCTCAGGAAGCCCCACAGTTCAGCTTTGCAGCCCTCAGAAGGTCCCCTTCAGACTTTCTCCTCTTGGGTTCCTAATCCAGGACCTCAGGCCCTTGTAGGAGGGGTTATAAGCTAAGCAAACACAGACATTACATTACCCACAGAACACATGGGTTTTGCGCAAACTAGGCCTTGGGCTACAGACAATATCGACCTCATGGTTCAGGGCTGTCCAACCAAAGGGAGGAGATGGTGGAGGAAGAAGGGTAAAGGTCCAGAGAGGCCCCAGTCTCAGAGTGAATGCCTCCCTCACCTCATCCCCAGCCTTCCTTTTCTTCTTCCTGTCCCGCTCAAGTGGCCCTTGGCCAGTTCCAGCTTCCAGACAGGACTCCTGGATGGAGCCCTGGGGGTCGGTGAGGGAAGGCAGCCAGCTCTGAGCCATGCCTCTGCCTCCCACCAGGTGTGTGCCCACAGGTTGTTGGCCAACTTGCTGATTGAGCAGCGATCTGTCTCATTTCTTGGAGTGAGTACAGAGGGAGGAGAGGAGCAGGTAAAACCCAGGTCTTTATTAGCTGTAAGAGCAGCAAAGATGGTTCTGGGAGGGAGCAGGGGGCCTACGAAAGAAGAGGAGGCAGTCTGGGGAAGGAAGAGACACGAAGTGTGGGATGGACACAGTAGCTCAGCCCTGAGGAGCCTGTGTGAGGAGAGAGCAGAGGTCGGCAAGGCAGGAGAGGCAGGCTCTGTGTCACCTATGGAGTCAGTCAGAGTCCGGGCAGGAGACAAAAGACCCATTCAGCTGTCAGTGTTTGCATCCCAAAGAAGACTTAATGACGAACTCCTGTGCAGAGGTATGGGCAGGGTTAAGGGAACGAAAGGGGGATGCTGAAGCACCCAGGGACTAGCAAGAGTGGAAAGCCATTATAAGCCCCTAGCGATATCAGAATCTAGCAGAGCTCAAGCCCTGGAAGCAGGGAGCCAGACAGAAGCTGTCAGGACATGGCCACAGCCACCATCACTCAGAACTATGTCACCTAAGCAGAGGGAGCAGGAATAAGAAATACCCTGACCTCTATCTCCTCCTGTCCTGTGATCTCCTGCCTGTGTCTCCCCTTAGTCAAACTCAGCAGGAAGCCAGAGGCCAAAGGAGCTCAGGTCAGTCAGCCCCCGAGGGGACAGAGCAGGGCAGAGAAGGACAGAGAATGGATGAGGGTATGCTGAGAGGGCCTTAGCAGCCCAGCTGGGCCGGTAAGAAGGAAAGGGGCTCAAGACACAGAGAGGAGCAAGCCTCACTCTGGAAAACAGTGATGTGATCTCTGGTGAATCCAAGGAAGGGGCTCTCTGGAGATCCTGACAATCAAGGGAAGAGGCCAGGTCAGCTCATCCCGGAGTGGGGGCGGTGGAATGGGAAGGGCAGCGAGGCATAGAGGATTATTACGGGGTAGATTAAGGGCAGGCTGTGGGTGTCTTTGCCTGGGAACCCGATGGCATTGCTCATGGTTGCAGGTGGATCAGAGTCCCTGGGGTGGCGGTTGAGCACGTGGAGCTAGTTGGACTATGTCCTAGGAGAGAGGCTGGTGGTCATGAAGACGGTACAGTGACTCTCTTAGATGAAGATCTCCTCACGTCAAAGTTGGGATCATTTCCATAGGTTTCTCAGGAAGAGGGAGTCCTCCTCCTCAGAGGCAGCAGTGGGGTCACTCTCTCCTCTCAGGGAAGGACACCTCTGTGAGGGCATGTTTGTGTGCCCCACCTTGGGCTGCCCACACCACACACGGACTAACTGCACCCACAGGTCTCTACCACCATATCAGGTATGTCAGTCTTGACAATGTTGCTGTCCCTGTCATAGTAGAGCAGAGACAGGGGGCGCCGAGTTGTGGGCACACAGCATGAGCCCCCTCCAGTGGCACCTGCAGCTGTGTTGGCCTTGAGAAGATTGAACACTGTAGTGTGAAAGGAGGCAGCAATGCCAGGCATGCCTGCCACATGCAGTGGACACTGCCCTGTGCAGAAGTTCATTGCGTAGCCCTCAGGCTGGATGATCCAGTCGTGCCAGCCAATCTCACGGAAGTCCACAAAGAACTCTTGTCGACAGCACATCCTGGACCCACCCTGGCAGTTGATGCCTCGCCGGCGAACCCGGTGCTTGCCGCCAACTCTCACCCGGGCTGCCACAAAAGGCCTATGGGCAGCCCCACCCAGGATGACTGAGCTCTGGGCTACCTGGCCTTCAGGTACCAGCTCTAGGGTCAGGTGCCTCTGGCTGCATGCAGCTTGAGCTTCAGGCCCCAGGAGGAGCTGGTGCCAGCCACTGGCATCCACCTCCAGCAGGTGCTGAGTGGCCAAGGTGAGGTTGGTGTCATGTGGCCCTGGCACAAGGATCCTCACCTTCATAGTCTGGGTGGTATTGGGAGGGAGCTGCACAAAGAACATGAGGCTGGCCTGCTGAATCTCCATGCCACCAGCAGTTCTATCAGAGAAGTAGAAATCAAGACGAGTCTGGTTGACGTTGGAGAGGCCTGTGAACACAAGAAGCCCCAATCATTGCAGCCTTCTGAGTGTCAGTTCCACCAGCTACCTCTCTATTCTCAGCATCCTTGAACTCTCTGCAGCACTTGGCATTTTCCTTCTTGAAAGTCTTTTCTCTCTTGGCTTCCATGACTTATGATTCTTCCTTGATTTTCTTTGCTGGCTTTTCTTTCTCTGACCAGCCCTTCAATGCTAGAGTTCTCCAAAGTTTGTCCTTGACTTTCGTTTCCTTTTACTCTACACTGAAGGGAGCTCTTACCCACACTCATGGTCAGCCAACACAATCTTTATGCTGGTGATTCCAAAATCTGTACGTCTAGTTCAGGCCATTTTGCACCTCAGGACTGGACATACAGATTTGGGAGCCATCAAGCTTCAGGCCTAAACTTATAACTGCTTAATTTTGCCACATGTATGTCTTGCCATCACATTAAAATCAATTGGTCCCAAGTAAAAATCATTATTTTCCTTCCTATATATCTCTCTTTCTGTTCTTAAAATTGGTGGCACCACGACCCTCCTTATCACCTCAAGAAACCCTGTGATCATCCCCCTCACTCCCCACATCCAGTCCCTCACTACAATGGTTCTAATGCTATGCATTTTTTCCTATCCCTATTACTACTGCCCAATTTCCCCTCTTCATTCCTCACCTGCCCCATTGAAACACTTTCACTGGGTTTCTATCCCTTCCACTCCACTGAAATTGCTCTTGTCAGGATCACCATTACCTTCCACACTGCCAAATGCAATGGTTTCCTCTCTTTATATTCATCTTACTTGACCTTTAAGCAGTGTTTGACACACTTAACCATTCCCAGCCTTTTTGAAATATTTCCTTCTCTTGGCTTTTGTGACTCTGGCCACTCCATCTTGGTCTCTTGCTGACAGCTCCCCTTCCTCTACCTGACCCCTAAATGTTGGAGGTCCTGAGGTCCCTTCTCGTCTCTATCTATACTCTCTCCCAGAACAATCTCATCAATTCTCATGGCTTTCAGTTCCTTCTATATGCTGATGATGCCCAGATATATATCCCTGGCCCTGATCTCTTGAGCCTTGGGGTTGTATATCCAGCTGCTGCTCTGATATTCCACTTGGATATCCAATGATATCTCAAGCTTTTTATGTTCAAAGATGAACTTTAGATTTATCCCCCCAACCCAAACCTTGCCCTTCCCTGGAAATGCACTGCTTAAGCCAAAACCTTAATTGCCCTCATCCCCTTCTTTGAAATTATCTGCAAGATCTGTCAACTCTACCTCCAATTCATAACATAAGTTCACTTGTCCCCACCTCCTCTACTGTATATTAGTTCAACCCACAATCATCTTTTTCTTGAATTATGACCATAGCTTCCCAAGTGATCCACTCTTGTCCCCCAAACAATTCTCCACACATCAGCCAGAGTGATCATTTTATTACATAAATCTGATCAGCTTAATCTCTCAGTTTAAAACCCTTCAAAGCCTTCCCATTGCTATTTGAATAAAATCTAAACTCCTTAACATAGCAAACTTGTATGATCAGGCATTCTGTCATTTAATGATTATATTCTATCTATACTGGCCTTTTTCTGTTCCTTGAACTCACCAAACATGAACCCACCTCCTGGCCTTTGCACTTGCTATTCCCACCGCCTGGACTGCCTTTCCATGATCTTTGAATTGACTGGTTCCTTTTTGGCATATGGCTCAAATGTCTCCTTCTCAGAGAGGCTTCCCTGACCAACCTATCTAAAGGAGCCTTCAACTCTACCTCCATCTCTCTAATACATTGTCCTGCTTAACTGTGTTTATAGCTTCTGTCACTCTCTGTAATCATCTTGGGGTTTTGTTCATTTGTTTACTGTGTGCTTCTTCCCACCCACCCCAGCTAGAATGTAAACTCTATGAAGGCAGAGACACCTGTTTGGTTCTCTATTGTATCTCCAGTACCCAGTACATAGCAGGCACTCAATAAAAATTTGTTGGATGAATGGTCTCTCATTTCTTTAACTCTTATTTTACACTGACACCAGAATTATTTTCCCAAAACTTGACTAGATCATAAAATTCATGGCCTCAAAAACCTTATTGATGACTAAAGTCCAAACTCTTTTAGGAAGCAGTTAAATGCCCATCATGAGTTGGCCTCAGCTACCCTTATTTTCCTTTTTCAAGTAAAGGGTGCTTTATTATGGAATTCCATCAATACTCTCATGGGCATAAAAGGGCAGAAAATAAAGTTCAACTAAGCTTCATGTGAATTAGAAAGTCAGGAATAAAGATACTCTCGACAGCTCTCAGAGCCAACGTGATCTCTCTCATCTCAGTCTCTCTAGGTAAGTCTACTCCATTCTTCTCTCTTCTCTGAGGATCTACTTCTTCTGCCTCCTTGTGAGCTTCCTCAGGTCCCAAAATGGTGGCCCCAGCTCTGGAGTCTACTTTTCCTCAGCTAATCCTAGCTAAGTGAGTTGATCTTCCAGTGTCCTAGTTCCAAGATCCTAGAAGAAGAGTCTGATTGGCCCAATTAATCTTTTTGTGCTAGGTCACTAAGCACCCCACAGTTAGAACCTCTTAAGTCACTGGTTATGGCAGGCAGACACATGACCAGCAGGGGCTGTGGTAGACTACTACATTGTGGGCCCCCCAGTGAACAGAACCTCCCAGTATTTATGGCTTTGTGCAGTCTCTTTCCATATTAACTCTGGGTTTGGTCATGTGACTTGATTTGGCCAAGGAGACATAGGCAAATGGTGGAAGCAGACGCTTGATAAGTACTTACACCTTGAAACTTTGTCCTCTTGGAAGCCAGCCACCATGCTTTAAAGACACTTGGGCTAGACTACTGAATGATGAGAAGCCAGGTAGCAAGAGACTTTGGAGGATCAGAGACCATCTTAGATGTTCTAGCCCTATATGTGCACCTGGCTGAATGCAGGCGCATGAGTGACCTCAGCTACACCTCATGGAGCAGAAGAACTATCTAGATAAGCCAGTCAAACCACAAAATTATGATAAATATTGAATTTTTTGTCTTAAGCCTCTATGTTTGGGCTGATTTGTTTTATTAATGGATAACTGAAACAGAAATTAGTAACAGAAGTTGGGTGCTCCATAACAAAGACCTAAAATGTGCAGCATTGGCTTTGGGACTGGGTGGCAGGCAGAGGTTGGAAGGATGGTGAGGAAATTGTTAGTGAAGGCAGGACGAACAGTGAGGAAATTGCTATTGGAAGCTGGAGAAAGGGGAACCTGTGTTATGTATTGGCTATCGTCCGTGGTAACTTGGAAGCTAGGAAGGGTATCTAACAAAGTTGTGAATTTAGCTAAAGATATTTCCAGGCAGAATGCTGAAAGTGCCAATCGGCTTATTTTAGCTGCCTATGATAAGGCATTTCAGGAGTGAGAAGAACTAAAAAAGGAACTGTTCAATTTTCAAGCAGAATTTAGAGAAAATGTTTCCAACAGGACTTGCTAGATTGAACAATAAAATATATTTTCATCCCTTTCTCTGTCCGACAAAAGGTTCTCAAAGTAAGAAATGGTTTCAGGGCAAAAATCAAATCCAGGGCACTGCTAGTAAAATAGCCTTGGAGTGAAGATCAAAACAAATAAAAGGTCAGCTGTAAGGCCCTCTGTTACAATCTAAAGTTTAAGATGATGTTCTGTAGACCCTCTCAGCTAGACCAAGGGGCTTCTGAGAATCTTCAGAGTTGTTCCACAACACTCTGACTTGTAACCTAAGCAGGGGCCTGTCTTGGTAGAGGGGAGTGCCTTTCATCTAACTAAGTAGACTACAATCTATTATTTAGAAGGCCCACAGAGTTTTAAAGAGAACTTGAATAGTGAAATATAGCACCAGTTTGGACTAAAAGGGAAAGAGATGGTTCAAAATGAAAAGAGGTCTCTGGGCCCCCAACTTCTTTGGACAGGAAGCAGGTTGAGAAAACCACTCAGCCGCAAACAAAGGTCATTTACTAATTAAAAAGAAAAACATCTCAGAGGGTGGAGCCAAGGGCTGAGAAAGTGGATCTAGAAGCCAAGGAGAGCAGTGGTGGGCACTCCTTAAGAGGAGAGGAAAATCCTACTAGGGAGCAGAACCAGGTCCTAACCAAGGGAATTCTGGATTTGAGGTCAACTGAGACATACGCCTGGCTGGACATCAGAATTTCCACGGATCAATGACCGCTCTGTGTCTCCTGCTCTCCCATCCCCCATTTGAACAGGAATATCTGTTACGGTCATCAAGTCCCCGTCTCAGCCTTGCGGTTTAGGTGCGTGGGAGGCAGATAACTTGTATTTTTAGGTCACAGGTGGTGGTGTGCTGGTAAATGTTTTACAACTAGATTCCAGAGGAAAAAAACCCTGATTTATAGCATTCTCTGGTATAAATTCTCCCACCACGGCTGATTTCAAACTATCAGTGTGATGACACTGGATATGGAGTTGAGAAATGTTCACAGTCAGCTCTCAGGAGCCAGCGGGAGCCAGTTCCAGGACTCCACTGACGGCCCCCACCATAGCTTCCCCAGAGCCCCAAGCTCTCTCTCTTTTCATATCTCCAGCAAGAACAATTCTCAGATCTTTCTCTCACAGTATGGTGTAGATGATACTTTAAATTGGAATGAAAACTTCAAATAAAATATTTAAATGTAAAAGGTGGAATCCAGGCATCAGTCATTCTCATTTCCAAACTTCGTCTCAGGCCAGGCCCCCTCCAACCTGCATGTTGTATTCACTCATTGATTAGCAAATATGTAGAAAGTACATAGACTTTGAAGTCAGAGAGGACTGTGTTTGAATTCTGCCCCTTGCAAGCTGTAAGACCTTGGCCATGTAAATTATCTTTGAGTCTCAGTTTCTGCATTGATAGGATGGGAATAATAAAGTCTACTTTACGGGGCGGTTGTGAGGATCAAACGATATGAAGCAAGTACACTAAGTACCTGGTAACCATCATTACTGTCACATTGTACCAGGAACTGGGCTAAGCGTCAGGGATACAAAGGTGAAAAAAAAAACAACCTTGTTCAAGGGACTCATGGTTCACGGCCATCTGTCCACCTGCTCCAAACTCTTTTTCAACTCCAAATGCAGTCTACCCCTTCAGCCTTTTACTTCTGTTTTTCCCTCTGTTTAGGTTGCTGTTTACCATTCTCTACCCATTGAAGTCAAACTTACTCTACAATGCCAGCCCATTTGCAATCTTCTTCTGAAAGACTTGCCTGTCTCACCAGGTCCCAGTGAATTATTCTTGGCCCAGCAGGCTCTTGTGCCTTCGTCTAGCCTTTATTTCCTTCTGCCTTATATTCTAATTAATTTATTCTCAGCAGCAGCAACTGAACCCCTCTTGGGCAGGAGCTGAGTCTTCTATTTCCTGCTCCCTCCCACCTTAGCCTTCTAAATACATTACCTGTATCAGCTCATTTAATTCTATCAACTATCTTTTCATCATCCCCATTTTACAAATGAGAAAACTGACTATTAACAACCCAGGTCACGCAGAATAAGTGGCTGAGCAAGGATTTGAGTCCAGGCTATCTGGCTCCAGAGTTTGCGTTCTTAATCATGAGCAGAAACCCCGCTTTGAACTAGACTAGGGTCTCATCGTCACTGGGGACTCTAGACTGTGGTCAAGCTGACCTACAGCGTGGCTTGGTTGTTTAATGCAACCAATGTTTACAGAGCAACTACTATGTTCGCAAGAGGCAGAGTGGTATAGTGGTCAAGGTCATGGATTCCAGAGCTAAGCTGTCTGGCTCCACTACTTACCAGTCATGTGAGCTTGAGCAAGTTACTCAACCTCTTTGTGCCTCAGTTTCATCACCTTTAAAATGGGGGTAACAGTACTTGCCTCACTGTGTTGTTGTGAGGATCTCAAGGAGTTAGTCTAAGTAAAAGGCTTAGAACACAGTAAACATTGTATAAGTGTTAGTTATTTCTACTATGCACCAGCCTCTGGTGATAACATGAGGAATAAATGACAGTTCTGGCCTCAAGGGATTGACATTCTATAGGAAGACACACTTCATAGAAAACCTAGAAACAGGCAATTCCATATGTAGAGTCCTGGGTGAGGGTGTGGGGGCCGACAGAGAGGGAGCTCCTCAGGACCTGACCTGACCTCAGGTCAGGGTGGGTTTTCTAAGGATGGAAGTGCTTGGATGCAGAGGGGAGTAGATGCAGACCAGGGGAAAGGGGCCAGGAATGGGAAGGGCCTTCCAGGCCTAAGTAAGAGCTTGGAAGGAACTCAGAGGCCAGAGAGACTACCCTCTGTTCTCTTTCTAGGGTCCTGTCTCTGAATTCTTGATCTTCCTCCAGCTGCCCACTAAATTCTCCACCTCCTCTCCCCTCTATGGAAGTAACTCTCTCTTCTTCTCTATCCTCTATCCTTTATCAACCTTTCTGAGACCCATTTTGACCCTGTTCTGATGTGGGGACCTGAGTATAAAGGCAGAGGGCAGGGGCAGGGTGGAGAAGTAGTGCAGTCCCGGTGTTTTGCTTATTGCCCTTTTACCCAAATGAGGCATGTGGGGGTGGGGTTGGAGAGGCTGGATCCTGGGGCCAGAGAAAGGACACACTCCCCAGCTCCCAGCCCTTGGGTCCAGGCCCAGGAGGTGGATGAGCTCACATCACAGCCTGTGGAAGTTTGTGGTGCCTGCAGAGAGAGGAGCCAGAGGCGATGGGGGCAGGCAGCCTCAAAAGAAATGAAATTTACCCACTTCCCAACAGCCAGCCACTGGCCAAGTCTGAACTACAGAGAGAGCCTTGGGGTGGGAGCCTGGGAGTAGGAGAGGACAGGCCGTGGGAGGCAAGAGTTGGGATGGGTTGGGGGAGGGAGTCAGGGGTTAGGCTGGGGAGGAAACTTTTCTTTCCCTCGAGAGGTCAGGAACCCACCTGTCTGAGCAAAGCTGATGATCTCATATTCCTGCCCCCTGTCAGCCTCAGGAAGCACCCCCTGTGGGGGCCCGTGGAGGCGCTGCAGCACGGTCCTCAGAGCAGCCCTGGACACAGGCCGGCTCAGTGTTGGGCGCTGGCTGAGGTGCAGCTTGTCCAAGATATTTCTCTTGGCCAGGTCCAGAAGCAGTTCCCGCTGGCTCTCCAGGTCCAAAGTGGGCCCCGCACATGCCAGACACTGACCGTCAGCTCTGGAAGTGGCCACTGTGGCCGGAGCCAGGAAAAGGAAAGCCAGGAGCATTGAGGAGATCATTGCCAGGGAGACCCTCCTTGAGCGACACAAACAGAGCAGTAAACCCGGGGATGAGGGTCTCAACAGCTGTGGTGTGGGCTCCGTCCTGGCTGCCCGGGGCCCCGGAAGGAGAGTGTGTCCAGCTGGCACAACTCCTTGTTGCAGGGGATAGAGCAGCCAAAAATCTGATTTGAGAGATGAAGTCAGTTACAGGTAGAACTTGACAGAAGCTGCCAACACACAGTGAGTGAAAGTACAGAGTGGGGGATGTGAGGCGAGGCTGGTTTGTTTGGGGAAAGAAATGTCCCTGGGCCAGTGTTGGGAGACAGGGGGTTACTCATGTGAGCTGCCAGGCCTGGGGACAAAGGTTAGAGATGAAATAGCTCTTCAGATCCATGGCCTTGCTGGGAAGTAGGGTAGGGGGCAGGGGACATCAGAGTTTTTAGGGTTTTTTTTAAAGAGATTTTTTAAAGATTAAAGTCTGTCTCCTCTTTTTATTAGTTGTGTGACTCTGGGCAAGTTACTTGACCTCTCTTGCTTCAGTTTCTTCACGGACAAATGGGAAAAGTCATCATCCATGATTCCAAAATCCAAAAAAACTCTGTAATCCATACACTTTTTTGGGCTACTCATGTGGTGGCTAAACCTGACCTGAACAGAAGTGAGTTCATTTACGGTTTTTTAAAAAATAGTACTGAGACTATTTATAGATTCTTACTGCAGAAATATTAATTATTTGATTATGGGATACTACTCCTGAGGATGTTATATAATATACAGCATACGTAGTATTTTACTTTTCTAAAACTTGAAATTTTCTGAATTCTGAAACACGTCTGGCCCTATGGATTTTGAATACGGGATTATAGATCTACAATGATTATCTCAGAGTTTTGAGATTTAAATAATTTTGTAAAGCACTCACTGTGGCCGGCACATAGTAAGTGCTTAACAAAAGTTTATTATTATTCCTGCTACATTGGTTTGTTTGTGGGCCAGAGTACTCTCACCTCTATAGGTACTGAAGAAATTCTGCCAATATTTGCCCTTCTGGACTATCCTTTCCTAGATGCCACACCCCCAGTCACCATCTGTAGTGCAGTCACTTAGAAGTCATCTCTGCTGCTTAATATTATATCCCCAGCATTGCACACAGTGCCTCATCTATAAGTGCTTAAAATATATTTATTGAATGAATCAATGTTACAATCTAGCCTCCTTCTCAGAAGGCATATTCAAGTCATCTTGATTGGATTTTTTTTTTTTTTTGAGGAAGATTAGCCCTGAGCTAACTATTGTCAATCCTCCTCTTTTTGCTGAGGAAGACTGGCCCTGAGCTAACATCCGTGCCCATCTTCCTCTACTTTATACGTGGGACGCCTACCACAGCACAGCTTTTTGCCAAGCAGTGCCACGTCCGCACCCAGGATCCGAACCGGCAAACCGCAGGCTGCTGAAGTGGAACGTGCGCACTTAACCGCTGCGTCACAGGGCCAGCCCCTTGATTGGGTCTTTATGTCACAGTTTCTTAGCTCTCTTCTATAGAGGCTGATTTTTTTTTTCTTATTTTTTTTAAGGGCTGGGATAGAGGTAGATTTATTAGTTTCTAGTATAAATTCATTTATTTACTTCAAAAATAACAGTTTTATCTAGATATAATTCACATAACATAAAATTCACCCTTTAGAGTGTATAACTTCAGTGGTTTTTAGTTCATTCATGGAGTTATGCAACCATAACCACTATCTAACTTAAGAACATTTTCATTACCCCCAAAAGAAACCCTGCACCATTAGCAGTCACTCCCCACCCCAGTCTACAGGGACTGATCTCATCTCCAACATTTTAATAGTCCTAATTTCTTTCTTGGATGATAACCTTATCTTGAATTGGGGGAGGTAGTTATATTGCTATTTGCTTCACGTCTTGACTACAGTATGTAGTTCCCAGGCTCCCTCAAATCCTAGGATGACTTCAGCTGCTCCCCTTCTCTCTGGAAAATAGTTGGGGGAATGAGAGGTGAGCAAAAGGGGGAGAAGCAGAGGAAGGCTTCTCTTAGGGGTGGATGCCTCATGTTTCTGCCTTAGCTGTTCTTCAGTTACTGCATTTGTCCCAGGAAGACCTGACTGTTCTACTCTGTCCTTTGTAACCTGCCCTTTCCAGCTACATTTCTAATAATGTAATGATTAAGAGTAGGCTCTGAAGATAAACTGTCTCAGTTCAAAATCTAGGCCTTTAGTCCCTCAGGTTTCCTTATCTACAAAATGGGTGTAACAACAGTACCTATTATTTTGAGGACCAAATTGAAATAATAGATGTAGAATGTTCCATATTCTATATCATACATACATAATATAATATTAGCTAATATTTCCTCCTGGCCATCACTACCCCCTGCCTCCAACTTGAAAACCTGGAACTTGCTGATCCTTGAAGGAAGGAAGAATTTCATACCTCTGTGACTTTGCAGGAATCTCTATTCTTGCCTCTCTGATGAACTCCTACTTGTGTTCTTCAAGGTTAGCTGAAATTTCACCTGTGGCTCCTCCGTAGTTTACTCAATCTCCCTTACCTCTGAGAACTAATTTCTCCTTCTTGTGTTTCCATAGCACATTGAGCACCTCTCCATTACAGCACTTAGATTGTACTAGAATGATTTGATTATTATTTTTGCCTGCCGCAGTTTTTGTCGCATAGCAAATACTTAACCGTTGAATTCTATCCGTGTAAGACTACAACGCTTCTCTGAGGGAGTTGGTCAGTAAATGATCCAAATACACATAATCAATAACTAAATTGATTCTGCCTAGAACGGACAGAATGGGGGAGGTTGTAAAGTTGAGATGACTCAAGAAAAAGAACTCTATCTTAGAGGGGGGTAGTGGTAAGAAGTGATTTTAAGAGGATAGACTTAAACCTGCTTTATTTAGAGTCACATTTTTACATCTGGAAAAAAACGTACATTTACCTACCACATGATCTTTGTCCATTTATACTGCGAATATTTATTGCATATATGCTCTTTTGGGTGCAGGAGTTACTGTCCTAAGTGAAAGGCTATTTTGAAAGTGTTCTGTAAATTTAAATTACTTCGCAGTTAGTATTATGTTTAACTCTAGGGGGAATGACGGGCTTGACGGGTTACGGTGCACCGAGGATCGCAGTGGATCTAGGCTGGCGGCTTGAGGCGGACAACGTGAAGGGAGCGAGCGAGCGAGAGAGTGAGCGAGCGCGGCTGCACGTGCGCGTGTGTTGGACAAGAGCGCGCGCCTGAGCGCCAGCGGTGGGTGAGCAGGCAGGGGGCGTCTGCCGGCGTGAGAGAGGCACACAGGAAACAGAGACGCACGGGGCGCAGGACGCGCTGACGACTCCGCCGGACGTGGTGACGTAGCGCGCAGGCCGCAGCGGGGGGCGGACTCGGGGCCTTTCTTCCCCTTCTGATTTTCCCCCTCCCCCCTTTTCTCCCTTTCCGGGTTTGGTTCCCCCCTTGTCTCCCCCTCTCCCCCCTCCTTCCCAAGCCCCTTTCCCCTCCCCCGCCCCAGCCCCCCCTGCTCCCCCGCCCGGGGCCCCGGGGAAACCCCTGCTGAGAAGAGCCCGCCCCCTGAAGCGCGCCGCCGCCGGCCGTCGGGGCCGAGCCGCAGCCGAGCGGCCGTGGGCCCGGGCGGCGGGCGGAGACGCGGGCGCCCTCCCCGCGGCGGCCCGCGTGAGGTGAGGCCACCTCCGGGCCGAGGGGGCGGGCGGCGCGGGCGGCCCGTGGGGAGGGGGCGTGGCGGCCGCGCGGGCGGGCGGAGGCCCCCGGCCTGGGCTCCCCGCGCTGCAGCTGCCCGGGCCCCGGGGCGGTGGGTCGCGGCCGGAGCCTCCCGTGAAGGACGGCCCGAGGCCAGAGACGCCCCGAGTGCGCGCGGGGAGCGCAGGCGAGCCGCGGGGGGCGCGGGGCGGCGGGCGGGGGCGGCGCCACCTGTGGCCTGTGCTGGGGGCCCTGAGACGTGTGGCGCCCTTGGAGTGCCTGGGGGTGACTAGCCCCATGCGTTTCTTGGGGCTCCGCTCCCCTTTGAGCGGCGGAGAATTGTGAGGGAGAGGTGTTGGAGTGCTTCACATCGAGCCGGTGGTCGAGTTTATTAGGGGACGGGGATGGAGTTGGAACATACAGGGAGATGTTGCTGGAGCTTAAAAGTTGGGCCTACACTGTGCTCGTAACTCGTTCTGGAGCCTCTGAAAACTCTTCCCAATTTTGGTTTCCTGTGGAGCCCACATCTTTCAACATTTATGACCATGAGCTTAGCAACTCCACAGAATATTCATTCACTCAAAGGGAATTGATCTTGGATAATGATGAGAAATGACCGAATAATAGCCCCAGAAGTTCATTGAACTGGAGAAGGGGAAATTTAAACTCAAATCCCAGTCGGATGAATGTCCTTGTATATATTTTTTTTCAAATAGACTTAACTAAAATTGAGAAGCCTGAGTCCTGTCTGATGTTGGTGAGGCAACATGGAGACTGGGGAGGAGGGAGGTGACAGGTTCCACTTTAGGAATATCACAAATTCTTGGCATTTTATTGTATTTTTGGATAGGCAAATTGACGTTTCAGTTAATTGCTTGTGGCTCCTTTTTCTTCCTAATGCGTTTTTTTCTTTTTTCTTTTTTTTCTCTTTTCCTCCAATATTTCCTTTTTTTTTTCGTTCCCCTTCGTGGAGCCTGGAGCAGCAAGACAAAAATGGTTTAAATAGTGGTGGAAAGTGGTAGGTTAGGTTAATTCAGTTCACTCTTTGGTTGTGTTTTTCTTCCCCTGTTGCTGTTCTCTACAGGGTTGAGGAAACTGAACCTTCCCTGAGGTGTGATCAATTGTGGGCACAAGTTAAATTTCAGAGTTGTGGTTCCAGTTGTCTTTGTGTCCACTATATGATCCATATGGTAGACCGCCACAGTTTAAAGCAAAATTTAAAAAATTTGTAAATAAAAACAGGGTGCCTGATATTTTTTAATGGGAAGGAGTCAAAAGAGGAGATGGTTTCCTTTCCCTTTCAGAATAAAACCCCAAGACTCTACAGTTGCCTTTAAAGTCCGAGGTCTGTAGCATCCTTTTCCCCCAGCATACCAGTTTCCCGGCTCTTCCTTAACCACACCAGGCACACTTCTGCTTCAGGGCCTTTGCACTTGCTCCTTGGATCTTTCTGGATCACTTTTCCCCTTTAAAGCTTCATGGCCTTGTCTCCTCAC